TCCTCTTCCCCCTCTCCTTCCTCTTCCTCCTCCTCTTCCCCCTCTCCTTCCTCTTCTTCCTCCTCTTCCCTCTCTCCTTCTTCACTTTCCTCTTCTCCCTCTCCTTCCTCATCTTCCCCTTCTCTTTCCTCTTTACCTTGCTCCTCTTCTTCCCCATTTTCCTCTTTTCCTTCCTCTTCCCCTTGTTCCTCTTCCCCCTCTCCTTCTTCCTCTTCCCCATTTCCCTCACTTTCCCCTTCTCCTTCCTCTTCACCTTGTTCCTCTTCTCCCTCTCCTTCATTTTCCTCTTCCTCTTCTCCTTCTTTGCCCTCTCCTTCCTCTTCATCTTCTTCCTCTTTTCCCTTTCTTTCTTTCTCTACCCTCTCTCCTTCCTCTGTTTCCCCATCTCCTTCCTCTTCCTTCCCTTCCTCTTTCTCTTTTTCTCTAAATCTTTCCTCCCCTCCATTCTTTTCTCCATCTTCTTTCTCCTTTCCCCCTTTTCCTTCCTCTTCACTTTCTCCTTCCTCTTCTGCTCTTTCTTTTCCCTCTCCCTTTTTCTTCTTCCCATCCTCCTCTTCTTCCTCTCCTTGCCCCTCCTCCTGCTCTGCTTGCTCCTCCTCCCTTTCCTCCTGCGCTCCTTGCTCCTCCTCCCTTTCCTCCTGTTCTCCTTGCTCCTCCTCTCTTTCCTCCTCCTCTTCTTGCTCCTCCCCTTCTCCATCCTCCATCTCTTGGTTTCTTTCTTCCTGGTGGCCTTTGTCCCCCTCCTTTTTCTTCTGTTTTACCTCATCTCTTTTCTCCCACTCCTCCTCCTCTTTTAGGTACTTGCCTTCCTTATCCAGACTCTCCATTTTTCCTCTTCCTCCATCTTTCTCCCCTTCCTCCTTCCCATGCCATTGTTCCACTTCTGAACTACCCTCCTCACAGATTTGGTTCCTTTCACCTTCAGTCCCATCCTCCGCCTCTCCCTTGCCTTCACTCACCTCTGCTCTGTCTGAAAGGTCATCTGTCAGGGTTCCTGCTTCCTCCTCCTTTGTTTCTCCTTCCACCTCCACATTTTCCTTATGTGCCTCTACCACTTGCTCCTCTATTCCACTTCCTTCTGAATCCTCTGTTCCTTCCTGCTCCTCTGGTATCTCTGACAAGTGGTCACACTTAAAATCATATTTTGTCATGAATCTGGATACTCTGGGTTCAGTCTCGAGTCCTTGTTCGACATATTTTCTGCTGAACCACATGTGATGATCAGTTTCCAGTTCATCCTCTTTCTCTTCACTATCAAATTCTATTGACTCAGGCTGATCCAATATGTCGGCTGTACCCATCTGTCTCTGGCTTTCACATTCCATGTAACTGTCTGGCTCCTCTATCAATTCTCTTTCAGGGTCAAAGATCATATCTTGCTGCCTACTTTTCCTTTCCTGAGTAAAGCCTTTGTTGTCTTCATCCTCAAAATTCACATCTTTTTCTGGTAACTCATCAAAGAATGTATCATATGGTAAACATTCTATATTCTCTTTTCTTTCTTGTATATCTTTCAGACCTGCCATTTCCATCAGCTCAGTTTTCTTCTCAGACACTATTTCTTCTCCATCACTTTCCTTTTCTGTGTCCTTAGTATCAAGTTCATCAACCTCACTTTTACTCTCATGTCTAAATATCTCTTTTTGCAAGCCCTCTTCATTGATGTTGGCCTCCTCCTGGTCTGAGTCATTATCTACTTCCTCATCTGTAAACGTTTCCACAGTCTCAGCTGCTTGCATCATGAAGATCCCTTCATCTACCTGTTCCTTATATGATTTCCCTTCTTTCATTTTTGATACCTCTTCATATTCATATTCATTACTATCATCATCATTTTCAGTACAAGCTGCATGCTGAATCAATTGGTCAACTGCTTCTTGTTTCTGTAAATTTTTTGAAGTAATCATCATACTACTATTAGTTGACAATGGCAACTTTTCTTCTATAAATTACTGCTACAGTTTTACATTTTTAAAAGTAGAATAAAAACATCCAGATAGAATAAAAATATCAGATATTTTGCTGAGGTTTTATTTTCTTTAGGAAAATATAGCAGTATATCTAATTTTGACTTAGTAACATGTATCTGTGTTTGTTTAGCTTTCAGTTTTAATCATGTGCCTTAATTCTGCCAATCACAATTCCAATATTTATTATCTACCCTTTTTCTCAATTGGAGTAAAGCCTTACATTATGACATTTCCAGATTGATTTTGCAAGATGCTATTTCAAAATTTACACCGCACTTGCATGAATCATTTCAGTATAATTTTTCTACCTTCTCTATCATTTTTAATTTCCAAATTTTGATTAGTCTTTGAGTTCATGAAATCCACAAAATTAATCAATATATGAAAATTTTTAAAATTGAAAAATGAGTAGCTTATTTTTAGAAGAAAAAAAGGAAAACTGCACATGAAATTTTTTTTTAAATCTATAAGCTAATAACAATGTTTTTCTTTCCTAAACAAAATCTTTGTATGAATTTTCAAAAGTTTTACCCTATTATATTCTTTAAAATAATTTGCAAACATGAAAAATCACTAAAAAGAAAAAATACTTAGGGCAAAATGTAAGATTTAGGTAAAACTATGAAATCACACATTGAGATTTGAATGATATATCAACAATATAAAAATAATTTCCTGCTGAACAAAATAAGGCAAAACCAAATTGTTGACCTAAATTCTATAAGTTAATGAATTCAAATATTTGATGAATTTGGATCTCTGGATGGTAAAAGCTCACAAAATCAAATTTTATAAATTGTGATGAGTGTTAAGGCATAGGAAGAGGTTGAACTTTTACCAAAGAAATAATTAAAACAGGACAAGTTACGAATTAACAAACTGATATAGAGAAATGGTATAACAAATATGTTTTACTCACTAAAGTAGGCCTGATAGAGCCTAAACTTAAAAGGACTATCTAAAGTATGAAATACATATCAGCTTAAAAGGAAGTACTTTTCTCTTCTATTATGTTCTAGGTCTGTCATTTCAAAAGTGCTAAAACTTGAAAGTTCTTTCCAGAGCCCTAAGAGAAACAGGCCCAACAGTCAGAACTGATTTCTAAATGTATGTGCCTTTCTTTTCCCAGAACAGTAAGGTAGCCCAGAAGAGGCAGAGCCCAGAGTCTAAGAGCAGAGAAAGGAAAGAGGAAAGATGGAAGTACAGTCAGTAACTAAAGCAGTTAACATTCATTGAGCTTCCACAACTGCGGTGGAAGCCATATTCAAAGGCATGCTGTTATTCACCATGACTCTCACTGATATACACAGGACTAATGAAGACTGGCTCTAAATTTTTATGATTTATCAAAATGCTCTTTCATTTCAGTGGCTTTGGTTTGAAGAATTTTTATCTTAATGTGGCAAAGACACTAGAAATAGAAAATGTTTTTTACAGCCTCCTTCCTTTAATTTACATTTCTCTGCTTTATTTTCCTAATCTCCAAACTCCTCATCCTTTTATCCCACTAGTTCTTAAAGCCAGGGAAGGCAAAAAATCTAAGGGAAGGCCTTTATTTCTCCAGGGTTGTGGAAGACATAGACTACTCCTTCCTCTTGCTATTTGTTATTCATTAAAGGTCTCCTTTTCACCCATAAACAGTCTCGAGTTTCCAAATATTTATTTTAATAATGTTTTATGCTATCCATTCCTTGATAAATTAAAGACAAATCTAAAAATTAGAAGTGATTATCAAATATTTTTACTAAAATCACAAAATATCAGACCTAGAAAAAAATGTTAATATCACCCAGTAAAGTCAGCATAGTAACTCACCCAAAGTCATATTCAACCAGTCAGAGAGCCACTCTGATAAACAGTGGCCTCTTTCTATAAGTAAGAAATACAATTATGAACTATTGCTAGACAGAAGAAAATATAATTATCACAACTTAAGTTAGTAACTCCAAAGAACAAATTTCAGTAATGAAATTCTAGCATTCTTGCTGCATCACAGAAAATACATACCAACAGAACAAGCCAAATGGAGGTCATCTACATTGTGCTCCTCTGTCCTTTAAATTCTTAAATAAATGAATACTTACCTTTCTTGTGGTCTTCCCAGAAACTTTCAAAGCAAAATAATTTAAACTGTTCTTACCTACCATAATAAAAATAACACTCTATATTATACCTTTTGTTTTTGAATTGGCGAAAATGTTAATGACTTGTCATCAGAATTCAGGTTCATCATATGTGTCTGAAATAAAAAAGATGTATATGTTCTCAAAATATAGGCTATATATAGGCTAATGCAGGCTATATATATGATCGTGCATTCTAAATACACACACACACACACACACACACACACACACGCACAGTAAAATGAATGCCAAACAGTTCAGACAGTAATATAATCTACTCTCAATTGCCATGCTAATGGTGTGAAGATAGAAATAAATTTTATCATACATTAATTGAACTTTGTTTGCTAATTTTTAACCAATAAAGTTGGTTAAAATTAGCAAAACCAAAGAAATAGTTTTTTTTGTGCACGAGAATATAGAAGACATATACATACATGTTCACACATAAACACATGAACCAAAATTTATACCAAACTCATCTAGATAGATACAGAATCATTACCATATTTAAGATATCATTAGTTTCTTCAAGGCTTTCTGAATCTGCTGCTGAAGAATTTTCTGTCTCTTTCTCTTTGGTCATGTTATCTTGAAGAAAGTCTGAATGATGAGAAGGAAAAAGGAAATCCAGATTTCAATAGAAATATAAAAAGCAACTAGACAGAAATTCTATAATACAAAGTGTGAGTACAATTTTACCAAAGGTCCTTTGATTTAATGTCAGGGGAGCTGAATAGAAGTCAACCACAGTGATAATGTGTTTTAAAATCTCTTTTTCAAGGTTTAAAAATTTTAACACCAATTAGATAATAACTGTGTCATTCATATGGACAGGTTAATACTGTTCCTTTGGGATACCTACAACCCACATATTGAGCACTGGATGCTAGGCCAAAGAAAGATCCCAATCACCCATATATTCCTGGATTTTTACCCCAGTGTAGCTCCCCTATACATCATATCAGGTTGTATGGCCAATTAAATAAAGCAGACATAACTATGATGTCATTCTAGCTCTGCTTTGCTACACGCATGCATGTTCTCTCTTTTGGATCACTTGCTCTGGAGGAAGCCACTTTGTGAGCATCTTTACATAGAAGCCTATGTGAAGAGTACAGGAAGCCCTCTGCCAATGGCAACATGAATGAGCTGGAAATTCAACTACAGCCCTGTATGACAGTGTGACTTTAACTTGATGAGTGAGCCTGAGCCAGAATTACCCAGTTAATGTGATCCTGGATTCTTGACTCTCAGAAACTATGTGAAATAGTGTCTGTCATTTTAACTTGCTAAGTTTTATGGTCATTTTTAAATGTAGCAACAAATAACTATCTCAAGTACCTTTCACAGAAAATGGCAAGTTATTATATCATAAAGCAGAAAATTAAAAGTCATAAGTTCTATTTGGCCTTACATTTTTCTAAAATTTCTCACTATATCCTCTTTGATCACCTGTCCACTTATTTGAGGGGAGTTTCTTAAATGAAGTCTTAACTACAAAATGCCAGTCCACACTGATCTCTCCATTTTAAATCTATTCAACTCCATGAGCAAGTACTCATTTTGTATCTATTCCATGTGTTGTAATATGCAGAGACAGTACTTAAATTTTAACTGCTAATTCTTTTGTTGTTCATTATCTATATTTAAGTTTTACAACAGATGTTGATATACATAGACTATAAGTTCATTAAGAAGTAGCAATTATCAAGGGAATATAAAAACATAGAGGAAAGAGAAATCATACATGAATGTTGGGAATCAGGAATGGTTTCACTAAAAAAATACATGGAAGGATGAGTAGTATTCTGAGAGGCAGGCAGAGATAGAGCTGGAAAGGGAATAAATGAATTCCCATTCCTAATAAAGCCAAGGAGTAGGAAGAGAAGCACATGGAAGGAAGCAACTTGTGTTGAAGGCTGCCAATGTCCTAAGAACATATACTCTTTTGTGTGTTGTATTAATCCTATGATAACAAGAAAGGTTAAACATTATATTCTCATTTTGAGAATGAGAAAAGTATACTTAATTTACCATTATGGTACTTAATGTCAATCTCAGGTCTATGTAACTCCATAGCCCATATTCTTTCCAGTAAGTCAGACTCTGAATTGCTCAGTTTGATCAAAATCAGGGGTTACATTTTTTTTTCTCTAAAAGACCACACAGTACATATTTTATGATTTGTGAGCCATACAGTCTCTGTCCTAACTTAACCTGACATTGTAGAATGAAAACAGCCATAGACAACACATGAAGGAATGGGTATGAATGGGTTCAAATAAAAGTTTATTTACAAAAACAGGTGGATGGCTAGATTTGGTCCATGGGTCATAGTTTCCAGACTCCTGATTTAAATAAAGGTTATAAGAAAAAAAAGGTTACTGAGAGAGAGAGCCAGAAAAGCAGTTGAGAGTTATAAGGAAACATTTATTTTCATAAATATCAGGGATCCTCTGAAGACAGTGGAGCAGATAGGATCTGAACTGGACTTAAGGGAGATTAATGTGAAAAGTGTTACACTGGATATACTGGAGGTAAGAAAATGTAGGTTTAGAAAATAGAGTAGCTTTTTTAAGCTGATGGCTTTGTCTCAGATGAGAAAACAGAAATCACTAGACATGATGTGCTTGATCTTCTCACCAACATACACTATTACCTAAATTTGTGCCCAAGTTCTCATTTTCCTGTTAATGTAAAATGTCTTTCCTATTACCAAAGACTGCTCTGCATGTCAGCCTCTTCTGTCTTCCAAGAGCTTTGCATCTTGTCTCCTAGGGCTACCAAGATCTCCTGATTATAGGTATACACATGTGTTCCAGTTTTTCCCATGGATCCCACAGTTCCCTCTAGCTGCCTGCCAAGTGTTCTGGACTATCACATGACCAAATAAGCAAAATAATGATCTATACAGCCTATCTCCTCTTCACTTCCTCATTCCCTATTCATGCTTTAATACTTATCATTCTGGCTTCTGTGATCTTTCCTTGGAACTGCTCTTTGTTGAGGTCACCAGTAATCTCCAGGATACCAAATGCACTGGATGTTTCTTTGAGTTCTTTTCCCTTAATCTTTGAGCAGAGATTTGCATTCATGCCTCTACTTTTTCCTAATTTTCCTCCTCCTCTCTTACTGACTGACGAGATCGAGAAGGATAAATATTCTTATGTCTATATCCTGGTCCCTCTTCTCTTCTGACTACTCTCTGTTGATTTCACCAACTTTGTAGATTTTAAATACCATTTCTCTACTGATGGTTTCCAAATTTTATCACTAGTTCAGAGCTCTTTTCTGAACTTTAGGCTATTTTTCAACCGCCTGCTTAATATTTCCATTTGCATGTCTCATAGATACCCTAGGCTCAATTCTTAAATTTCTTCCTCAAACTTGTCCATCATCCTATTGCTTAGGAACTACCCTTGATTCTTCCCTTTATGTCATCCCTATATGTAATCTATTAATACGATAAGCAAGTATAGTTGGTTATATGTCTGAAACATATCATCTCAACTGCAAAGACCTTGGTCCACACATTGCTATCTGTTGCAATAAAAAATCTGACAAGTATTCTTCTTCTTCTTCTTCTTCTAATATGGCTTCCCTAGAATCCACATGGAGGTAGAAATGATCATTTTAAAATATCAATTGGATTGGAACATATCAGTCCACTCTTTAAAACCCACTAATTGCTTTTTATTGTATTTAAAACCATTCAAGCTTGACACAGTAGTGCACACCAGTAATTCCAGCTACTAAGTAGTGCACACCAGTAATTCCAGCTACTAAGTAGGTTCAGGCAGTAGGATCAAAGTTTGAGGACAGCCTCTACAACTGAGAGACCCTGTCTCAAAATAAAAAAGACTGGGGATGTAACTGAGCAGTAAAGTATCCCTGGGTTCCATCCCTAGTGACATACACACTAACACACACACACACACACACACACACACACAGAGAGAGAGAGAGAGAGAGAGAGAGAGAGAGAGAGAAAACCATTCAAATTGAATAGGCTCTTTCTGGCCTATAAACTGAGGAATAATTTTTCACTGTCTTTTCTCCAACATCATCCTGTTCTGTCTTTTCCCTCACTTTATAGCCCTACTGGTCTTTCCTTTTCTTTGCCTCTTATTTTCTCTTCCAGGAATGCAACTACTGTCAATTTATGTGGCTATCTCTTATTCTTTATGTTTAGCATGAATGGCATCTTCTCAGCAAGACCTACCCTGATCCATTTTCTTCCCTTATAAAGACAAAAGTCTGCAAATGATTTAGAACAAATCACATTATATACTGAGTATAACTTATAAGCTACTTATTATAAAGAAAGTTTTATCAGTCACAAAAAGATAAGGGAAAATTTTCCTTTTGATCTAGGTACAAAAATATGTATATATTTACATTTAAATCTCTTGAAGTGGGAAATGACTTTCTTTCCCCAAACCACATACTTTTCTTCCCTGTGTACAGTGCGTGTCAGAATCTACTACTACGCTTTCCATGTCTAGGACTGAAAAGCATCATTTGACATTGATTTTTTTGTGGGGTGGGGGGTCCTGGGGTTGAACCCAGGGGCATTTAACCACTGAGCCACATCCTCACCCCCTTTTTTTTTGCATTTTATTTAGAGATAGGGTCTCACTGAGTTGCTTAGTGCCTTGCAAAGTTTCTGAAGCTGGTTTTGAACTTGTGATCCTCCTGCCTCAGCCTCCCAAGCTGCTGGGATTACAGGTGTGTGCCACTGCACCCAGCCTTGACACTGATTCTTATTTCAAAAAGACCATACAGGAGAATTAGGGTTGTAGCTCAGTGTCAGGGCACTTGCCTAGCACATATGAGGTACTGGGTTCAATCCTCAGCACCACATAAAAATAAATAAATAAAATGAAGGTATCGTGTCCATCTACAACTTAAAAAAACAACATACAAAAGTTGTGGTGAAGAAACTCAGCTCATTATCAAGGTCCTGTGTCTAGATGATAGATCGAAAACAATAAAAATTATGTACCATGATTCTTAATTCCCAATGTACAGGTTTATCTTTCTCTTTTCTTTTTTGGTACTGAGGAGTGAACCCAGGGGGCATTTTATCACTGAGCTACATACCCCATCCCTTTTTAGTTTTTGAGATAGGGTCTCTCTAAGTTGCTTAGGGCCTTGCTAAGATGCTGAGTCTGGCTTCAAATTTGTGATCCTTCTGCTTCAGCTTCCCAAGTCACAGAATATGGGCCTGTTCCACCAAGCCTAGCCAGGTTTATCTACTTAAATTTCAAATCTACTTCTTCTTCTGATCTCCTGGTCCTGTGCCCATCATTCAAGCATACACCCTCTAATACCATACAGACACTCCTTCAAGATATAAAGTCTATGAACACAATCATGTGGAAGAGGTGTATAGTAGTAAAAGAGTTGGGATTACAATTTAAAGTATGAATATCTAATAGGGACTAAGATAGAGGTGTTACTGATAATCATAAGTATATTTATTTAGGGGTTTCTAGAGGTGATGAGCTCAATGCTAAATATTTTACATTCCTGATATCACTTAATCATTGAAATCATTCTCTGAAGTAGGCATCATTAAACCTATTTAAATGATAAGGAAACTGAGGCTTAGATTTAGTCACATAGTTAATAAATGTCAGAGCTGGCATGTAACTCTAGATCAATTTTAATTCCATATCCCATGCTTTAACCACTATGAATCACTGATTAAATATAGAACTTGACATAGATCCAGAAGACCTGCATTCAAATCCTGTCCACTTCAGATATAAACTGACTGACCTTGGGTAAGTCACTTGATTTCTTCAGGTCTAGCTTTTCTCATTTGTAAAATAAAGAATATAATTCCCACTTATTTCATGAAGTTGCTTCAGATTTTATAGAAATATAATAATGGCATGCATATTATCTCCATTACTCTATAAAGACATGCTGCTATGGTTACAAGATTCATTGAAGGTGCTTTGTATTTGTAAGGGTATTTTGGGGTTTGAGTTCAAGTGGGTGATATCAGGCTCTAATTGGGGATGAAACAATTTAATGAACTGGAGAAAACATCTTAAGATAAAACATGAAAGCAATAGGAATAAAAGGCACATTTCTCCTAAGAGCAGGCAGGGTGACAAGTATTACCTGGATCCAGTGGCTCCATGAAGTCAGAGGTGCATTTCTCTGAGAGGTAATTCATAGGCACAGGGCAAGAGATTGAAGAAGGGCAAAAATTAGGTATGGAGGCAGTCTCCTCTAATGGAGGTAGTGTTCGAACCATGTGAATAGATTCTGGGGATTTCTCCTTTAAAATAAAATAATAAATATCTGTCAAATGATGTTATATATAAAACATTGGCATAAATTTCCTTGCAGTTGCTAAAAATATTTAAGAGAAAGAGTCCAAAGTCTACCAACATTCCATAACATTCACTTCTTAATAATCCCCAGGGGATCAAAAACGTTTTGTTCTGTTGTCTCTGTATCTTAGTTGCTCTAAATTGTCAATTGGAAAGCCGGTTTTTCACATTTTGGGGAAAAAAATGTGTGTGTGTGTGTGTGTGTGTGTGTGTGTGTTTTCTCTGCTTTCTCTTATAGAAACAAAAATTTGCTCATGAGATATAAAAAATTATAAAACATGGGTGGAATATTTCTCAACCTTTCCATATATACTTTTTATAAATAAAAAGTCACACTTAACTTCTACTCCAAAAGGAAAGAATTTAAGAACTTAAAAGTAATTTTCAAAGAGGAATGTCTCCTTTAAATATTTGGCATTTTCATTTTTTAAAAAAGTATAAGTGTCACTGAAACAGTAATTTTAAAGCACATGAGAATCTCTAAATTTAATTCAAAGAAAATATTTCTTTTCTCCAACTAAAGTCCTTCTTGGTTTTTCATGTTTCATAGTTTATAGTATATAACCTTCCACCACATGAGGTCTAACTAAAAGATAAAAGAATATAGCATTAGGCAAGAGGATGAAGTCCTAGAGATGTGCCGTACAACATAGCGTTGTGCCTATGTTAATAATACTGTATTGTATACTTAAAAATCTGTTACAAGGGTAGATCTCATGTTCTTACTACAATAATAGAAAAAAGGGTGTGACAAGTTAAAGTAGAAGATGAATCACATGAAGTTAAAAAAACAATGTAGCATCTACTCTGAGGTGTAAGAAAGGTCTGTAAAAGGATGCTTTGTATACTATCACTGTCTACAAGCAGAGGTTATCCATGATAATTTGAATTATCTAATTTGTGTCTTTAATGGCTTATTCTGCACTCACTTTAAAAGTCCAAAATCTTCAGCTCTAATCACTTTATTAGCAGTTTTATCTGAGAAGAGCCTTTGATTTTATAAAGAAAATAGATTTTTTCTTCATGTTTTCTTAGCAGTGCTATACAATACTATTATATAGAATAGGCCACAACTGTACCCGCTCTCTTCGCCGCAGACGTGCTGATAAAGTTCTATGCAGTAAATTTCCTGAGGTCAGATCAGTGGTGGACAGAGAACTGGCTGCAGGTGAGGAAGAATCACTTATTTCATCGAATTCAACTTCTCCTGATATATTGAGCCGTGGAGTGGCAAAAACTAGCATGTGACATCCACCACAGGCAACCTGCAAGCATAAAGCCACAGAAAAATTAATCAACATTGGATTCAAACACAAATGGATTTTGTAACAATTATCAGGTCAGCTACAAGAAATTTACTTAGTGGAACACAGCAGACTTCCTAAACTGACCAACTCACTGATCTCTTTTAATCTCTCTTCTCCCTCTTTTCATTTAGATATACATGTGTGAGTGCGCATGTATACATCACATGTCTGAATTATATCTATGAGAATTAATGTATATATTCTTTAAACACTACAATTGAAAATTAGAACAAGTTTAATTCACCATTTGCTTTCATTTAACATAACAGAGGGAAAAAGTACTTGTCACTACATGTTTCATTACAAGTTAGAAGGTGTTGTATTTTCAACTGGGAGCAATATTAAAAACTTTAAAAAACTATTCAGAGAAGATCTACTGGGAAATAAAATGAACCAAGAATAAAACAGTCTCCTGAGATAATTATATATCCAAAGCTTTTTCTTTACATGAATATTTTCTACATTTAAAGCTTAAAAGTCCTTAGAGAAAAACAAGAATTCACAATGATGGAACAATGAAAAATAATTTTGAGATATCAATGGCTTCTAAGAAAATGCCCAAAAAGATCCCATAGTGTATTTTGGGGGAGGTACTGAGGATTGAACCCAGAGGAACTTTACTACTGAGTTATACCCTCAGCCCTTTTGATTTTTTATTTTGTGATAGGGTCTCACTAAATTGCTCAGGCTGACCTCGAACTTGTGATCCTCCCACCTCAACCTCCAGAGTCACTGGGACTACAGAGGTGCATTACTATACCTGGCCCCAGTGTTTTTAATACATAGATTCTAGCCATTTTATAGTGTTTTGACTATATCTTTATTTTATAATATTTTCAAATTTAAAATTCATGAACAATTTTATTTATCACCATTTGAACGGATAATCTCTGTAAGATTATAAACCCAATGAATGAGGATTAGTTTCTTCATCACTGAATACTCTGTATTCCTAATAATTAATCCAGTATCTTGCACATAGTCAAATCAACAAATGGTGCTCCATAGTATGAGACAATGCATCTTTGGAGAAGTAAAATTATTGTCAAATAAACAGAATTTTCACAAGTCTATATAGCTCTTAACAAGCGAAAGTATTAGAAACAATAGACATACAATGTGTGATGGTAATGTTAAACTAAAGCCACACATTCTTATCTAAATAATATTTAGTCAATAAAACATTTCCACACCTCTTCATTTGTTATCAGATTCCTCTGGTACAGGATTTGAGAGTCTCAGTAACATTTACTGAATACTACTGTGTTTCAAGAGACATATGGAAATACAGCAGAAGAGTTAAGATTTCAACAAAAAGGAAAATGTTAAAGGAGGAAAATTAGGAAAGGGACAGATTTTCAGAGTGGCCTAATGTATGAAATTTGACTTTTAGAAACTAGTTGTATTGAGTAGATAAATATATGATAGTCTCTAATATTAACATAAAGGTAAGTACTATCTATGAAATACTGAAAGACTCAATTATAGAAGTATAAAAAACATAAGGAGGAGAATGTGATAACCTTACCAAATGAACTGTAAATTTCAAAAAATTAGAGCACAAAGTTGGAAAGAATTGATTGGTAAAATTCTCCAGTCCAAGTCCTAATTTTCCATGTCGGCCATCTCCAAAAGTATACATAAGGCCTACATCTAAAATGCAAAAATAAATAATTAAATAAGGAGAATTATACAAGTGTTACTTGCATTCATCTATTTATACTCAGACGAATATATTAATTCACACTGCAGTATAATTTTCCCATCAAATTCTACATTGAACACTCTGGTCCATTGATCTTTCCACACACACTGATTTCTATGGTCCTATACATAACAATATGCAGTAGATATTCTGAGAACAAATCACTAAACCCTGGTGGTTGGTGAAATTGATGCCTTGTGGTGCAAGAAATTATATGGAACACCAACAATACAGCATGAGATCTTGTGATGTACATCATATTCTCAAGGAGAAAGAGATGCTTGTATTCTGATCTCTTATGTTGTGATATAACCTATTTTATTTTTTCCTCAGATCACTGATTGATCAGTTTCTCAACCTCAGCACTGCCGACAGTTGGGCTGAATTATTTTTAGTTGTGAGAGTCAGTCCTGTTCAGTGTAGGATGTTTAGCAGCATTTTTGGCCTCTGCCCCACTACATGCCAGTAAAACACTCCTCTGCAGCTGTGACAGTCAAAAATTTCTCCAGACATCACATCTGTCTCCTGGGGGGAACAAAATTGTCAGTGGTAGAGAACTACTGACTTAGATCAATCCAACCCCTCTCTTTTCTTAGTTAGGTTCCTGGACTGAATAATGCTGCCTAAAGAACTACCTACCATAAGCCAATCAATAATGCTGACCAGTCCCTATACCAATAACTGGGTCTCACCTATAGCTGAGCTGCTGATAAGTGATCTGGTTACTTCTCTCCAGTTATCTTTTTGCCTGCTACCATAGCAGATATTCTGAACCTCAGCTCCTCTTCTCAGGCCTCTCCTCCATATACTGCATCTCAAGTGAGGTAAGTGCCATGGAAGCAGAATTAATGAGTGACAATGTGTGTGCAGAGAGGGATTTCCCTATAGTTTGAGGATTAGGGAAAGCATTCAAACTGAAACCTAAAGGATGACTAGGGTTTGGCTGGAAGAAGAAAGGAATGAAGAATTCTCCAGGCAGAGTCAGCAGTAAGTAGGAAACACCTGAATCAAGAGAAATCAGAGCTAAGACAAGAAGGTGAAGGCAACCAACAAGCCCAAAGCACAAAGGGGAAAGTGTATGAGATGAGTCTGAGGAGGAAGATGGAACCATACCTCAGAAGATTCCATTAGTTCAGATTATAAATTTTTGAATTCTAAAGGCAAGAAGAAGCCAAATGAATGGTTTTAGGCTGGGAAATGATTAGATGATATTTAGGGACTTCTGGTTTAAGAAGGCAAAGTAACTGTCTACCAAGAAAATATATAAAAATTGACTGAAAAAAATGACTGTAAATAACATAATTCAATAAAGTGATAAGTTCAAAAATTAACTTACAGAAATAGATTTGTATAAATAAGCAATAACCAGTGTTTAGATGTGTTAGCTCTTATAACTCTATTTCCTTTCTTTATATACTCTATTACTGTTATCCCTTCCTCTCCCTTCTTTTGATCCCAATTTCTTTGTTCAAAAGTGATTTTTAAGGCTTGCCTTTCTAATTTGATTATCTTTTGCCTCAAAAACTAAACTCTGATCCAAGCTGCCTGATTACACTTCAAACCTCAGAGTGATTTAAAAAATATGAGCCACTGGCTATAATGAGAAACTGATAAGAACTTATAGATAACTCAGTATACACATCTCATCAGTCTAGAGGGGAAAAAAACTACACTTGTCCTCTGGGGAGGACAGAAGAGCAAAAAGGCAAGTGAAGTTTATGTTCAATTATTTGTGATATAACTCTTTTCATTAAGAAGAAAGATATTATGAAATTTTAACTAAATAACCTAATTGTATATTAGATGATACATGAAAGTCTGTTTACCATCAATTGCAATTTGGAGTTGATGAAAAATGGCACTAAGGACAGACAAACTGAGATTAGGACCCCACAGTAAGGGACACATATCAACTCTAATGAGACAACAAATGAATAACATTTCTTTACATTCTATATAGTACTATTTCATGCCATGTTAACAAAAACATAAATAATTGATGATAGGCAGGTCATCCTCTCTGAAGAGTTCTGTGGGGAAAAAGGAACTGTTTACCTTGTGTGTGCTGATTCCTACACTTCCCCTAACCTGTTATCATTAGATGAGCTCCACTGTAGCAGTAGCATTTTTAGAAAGAGGGAAAAAGTAGAAATACAAGTATCTGGATTATTTCAATATACTAGATGATTTCTGAATATTTGGTGCTTTATTTCATCTTCAGATAGAAAAAGTGAAATTACAGATGGTTTTCTTATAAAGCACTTAAGTTTGTGGAGTCTATCAATTACCTATAAGTAATTGACTGAATTATTTCGGGGAAGCATTTTCTTGAGTTCTACACTATTAGCAGAACCTAATTTCTGAAGTTAAGAAGCAGGCCCAAAGGAACATCTCCCTGGATAAAGGAGAAGCCACACAATTGAGAGATGTATTCACTTGGGGGTCTTTGAGGTACCTTTCTCTCTATCACTGTGGAAAGAGGAGTTATTCCTGAAAACGCCTCCTGGTGGCAAAAGCAGCATAAAGAATTTACTCAGCCTGAATGTAGCTCTGTCAAAATGAACATGAGAATGTTCTGAAAAACTTCTTTCTTTCTTCCCTGTGGCTTGCACAGCGTTAAAAGCCTTCAATTTCAGTAAGATTCTAACTTTCCGCCAAAGTACAGTATATTATGGTCTTTTGACATCAGTTGGTCTATTTTGAGGTTCTAAATCTTTAGATCTTTTACTTTTTTTGTGTGTTGGGGATTGAGTCCAGGGTCTCATACATGCTAAACATGCATTCTACCACCTAACTAAAACCCCAGACCCTACATTTATTTTAAATTGAATTAAAATAATCAAAATGACTTTACAACTTTATACTTTGGGATATTAATCAAAGAATTCCAATTTTCTCAATTATTAATTCTTTTACTTAAGTTAGATACATTCGTTCCCTATATTATTTAGTTTATAATAAAATACACCCAGTTCTAGAAATATAAAACAGAAAAATCTAATCCATACCTGTTATCAAAGCTGTGTGATTTTCTCCACAGGCAATATCACTTACTCTCTGGTCCTTCATATTTGCAATGACTTTGGGTTCTGAAGTTTCAAAAAGAAATGTGCCAAGGCCCAACTGACCAAACTGCCCTAGCCCAAAGGTATACACAGTTTTCTCTGAAAGGAAAGGCACAATACAAGAAAAGAATTACATGGAAGCAGACACTGTCACCATCATATCTAAAAAGATTGTGACATTCTTCCTTTTATATAACAATGGTAACTTTTCTCTGAAAGAAATACTCATTTAAGAATACTAATACTGAAGTATAATTTTTTCAGTGATAAAGACAAAAATCAAAGGCACACAATTAGTTGCGTGTGGCAGTGCATACCTGCAATCCTGCCTACTTGGGAGGCTGAGGTAAGAGAATCACAAGTTGGAGGCCAGCCTTGGCAATTTAGCAAGACCATGTCTCAAAATAAAAAGGGCTGGGGATGTAGCTCAGTGGTAGAGCATTCCTGGATCCAAACAAAAACCAAAAACGAAGAAATAATAAAGAAAAGGTACACACTATAAAAAAATTATGGCAGGTGTTCAGTTTTATCTTTCATATCCATAACCACAAAAGGAACTTCTATAAGTAAGAAACTGATACAATAGAAGATACATAACTCAAGGAACTAATCAACATGTCCCTATAATTACCATGTCAATTCAAAAATCATAAATTTTCATAAAGGCAATTTCTTTCACTGCCACAAATAAAAATGTAAATAGTGTCTCCTACAAAAATAAGCGTCTAACTTTTAAAAGAAGTTTAATAAATCTATTTTATAAAACATAATTTCTGAAAATAATTTGCAGAGAAATTAAGATTTATGATGGATATGCTATATTCAGTCATTAGTAAAGCTCCTTTATTAGGAAATGCAATGCTGAAGAAAGGACAGGAGAAGCTTTCCTTTATACTGATACTTTTGGGGTGAATACAAAGGACCTCAATAACTCCATTAGCTCATATATTTTCTAGAAATGCACAAGTACAAAAGCAGGATACATGCATGGTGACAAATGGGTTCTTTGAGACCCAATTTCCCTGGTCAATGTGTTAGGAAGTACAGTGTCCTTGGTTCAATCATGTGAAGAAAGAACGAGAAATATGCATTAGGGCCCAAACTCAAATCGTGGTTATTACCAGCTGTGGCAAGTAGATAAGTTTCTTAGATTCTCTGATGTTATAATCTTTATTTCAGGTAGATTTGAAGACATTTAGTTTTAAAGAACAATTTATCTTTGAAAAAGTCATCATTTAATCAACCCATCTAATTCTGGCAATTGCAGGGGTTACTGATGAATTCAAAACTGTCTAATACCACATCATTTTACATCATTTTCTGCCTAATAAGAATGTTTGCTTTATCAGTAAAACATAGATATTACTCCTTATAGAAAATATGCTGTGTCAAGGACATGAAGCCATACTGAGGCAATGGCAAAACACATTCTTGTTTTAATATAAAAAATCTTTTAGTTAATTAATAACCACATGGTATATTTCCAGTTCTAAATGTTCAGCTTAATAGTAGAATGTTGGGTAAATTAAAACAATTATTTACTATTAGCTTATCAACAATTACTCAACTTTCCTTGGGCTGTCTGATATTAGCCTGTGAAATGAGGCCATTTAGGTAGGCAGCTTAATCATATTTTAAAAGTTTCATTTTATCCTGTTAGGTTCACTTTCAAGTGCTTGGATGATTAGTGATGACAGCAGTTTCTAGTTTTTAAATATCTACAACTCTTTCAACTAAAAATAGTACATATAAACTTCATTGTGGACCCCTCTTATAATTGGCCTTTCTCATCTTTTGGTAACTGCTATGGGTAATGTAAAAGATTACATCTATCACTCTGTCTCAGTGTGTCCCAAGTTCCAGTCTGGCCCTTTCTCCACAGCAATCCACTGTTCCTGCTTCTAAGGAGAAACTATAATCATGCCATCACTACAAGGCATAGTTGTATTTTCTAACCTACTGTGGTCACATGCCTATAGTACCTTTTAGATAAATTGATCAGCAATGATCTGCTTATCTTTAAAATGGTTTAATGAGTGATATCCAAACTGATTGTAAGATCAGAGTTATAGACACAAAAAAACAAAGTTGGGGAGGGAGTCCGTAGAATCATCTAATCACTACTTAAGTGAAAGGAATGATCGAGAATAGATGATTATTTATTTTACCGTAAGTTCTCAGAAAGTATTCCATAACTTTCTTAATTATCCAATTTAGTACTTAGTGAAAATGATGATCAACATACTCTTCAGGTCCATTTCTTCATTACCTAGGACTAAATATTAAATATTTCTATCTAATTCCAGTACACAGGTTCCTCACCAGTGGTGGCTAATAACAACAAAGCTCTCATAGATTCATGGAGCAATGTGGAAAATAGGCAAAATAGTGAATTTTCCATATATATAAATTTGTACAATCTAACTAGATATATTTTATTACAAAATTAGGAGCTTTTGTTTTGAAAATGTTCCTTATTTTATGACATGATAGTGAAAACAGTCACTTTTTTCAATGCTTATATTTAAGCAAATGCAAGTCAGAATTTGACAGCCATCTGTTATTTCTCATTATTTTTCGAACTTAAAGTTTAAATTCTACTTAAAAAGAAAACAAGTTCTTCACTGTTTCCAAGGTTACTTATAATTTATACAAATTTTATCTTTATATTTTCCCCTGTATTACAAGTTTTTTTTTCTTCTATTCCCCTGTTCAGTCTACCACAATCAGAAAGACAGGAAACACACAAAAAAACTTTTTTTCCTGCATCTGTAGTAGAAACCTTTGCAGTAGACAGTAATTGCTCTAGATCTGTCAATAAATATATCTCATATTTAAAAAAAAAAAACCTTCACTGATCTGTGAGATCCCAAAGTGCAAAAATCTGGAGAGAAAAATCAATTTCTGGAAACATGATTTGTAAACTCAAAATCAAATTCACAAAAAGCTAAATGTATAACAGTACAAGAAAAAAATCACACTTTAAGTGTATTCATAATTTTAAAGAAAAATTTAAAGTATCATTGATTACTTTCTTGTTCACATTATATATTTTACAATATATAGTTGGTTTATTTTAATTATATAATCAATATCTGTGTCATTCCAAATAATCTTGAATCACCCAGTAAATTTTCTATGTTTGTAAAAATTAGAGAAAACACATAATGCATATAAACTAAGTTGTCTTTTTAACTATAGATTAGATTTTCAAACAATTTATAAAGATTTAATTTAGAATACATCTTTTAAAATTACATGAAAGCTCATTTTGTAAGCAGGAATTCAAAATAATCTTAAACCTTAGAATTATTTCCAAATTTAGAGCAGAGGTTTTGAAAAAATTATTTCTAACTTAGAAAAGATTCCATCTAGAAGTTTTAATTCTGGGTAACTAAAGTTTAATATACATGACTGGGACTAGAATAGGAAGTCAAAGAAAAGAAATACAACAAAGGAAAATCTAAAGATAAAATACTGCTCCTCCATTTTGCAGCATTAAAAATATCATCTAAGAATTGGTTATTCAGAATTTGTCTAGAATACTTCTAGCTTTAGGTTACTAAAGATTAAGTAGTGACTACAAACTGTTAATTTCTTAAAACTCATGATAATAATTCACTATTTAACTACGTTACTCCTATATTACTCATCTAAAATAAATATAATACTGAATAAATTTGAGAGCATCAATTTAGCAGGCATATTTTCAAATGTCAATATATTTCAATATATTGACTAGAATCCTAAGAAATGACATGTCACACACCAAATATGAAATTCAGAAGCCAAAAGTGACATTACTATTAAGGTTCTAATTTTTGTTAACTATAATTTAAAAACTTACCACTTTTTAATGAATTACTATAACAATGTAAAATCACAAAGAAATCCCTAAGTTATATATTGTGATTATCACAAAGAATTATCAATGACGTGTTGAAAATAGCATGAACAGGAAGCTTCTCCAAAAGAAAGCATTTTAGGAAAAATAATATCAACTTTAGATAAATAAGTAAATATATATATGAAGAAAACTGTTTGTCCTTGAAAATGAGCTAAAACAACATTATTTGCTGACATTAAAGGTATTTAAGGCCATGAAGATATCAATTATGTTAGCAGAAACAATTCGACAAGATTCATTTTTTTCTACTTAAAAATTCTTCCATAGGCCAGCAATGTATATTAACTATAGAGTTAAAAGGTGGGGATCTTAGATGGAAGGCTACTTCCATAAAAAATCTAAAAGAATCGAGCTCATAAAAGCTAATAATCAAATGGTGGTTGATAGGAGCTGGGGGTGGAAGAAAGGGGAGATGCTATACAAAGGTCACAAAATTTCAGTTATACAAGGAATATTTTAGAGATCTGCTGTATGATATGCCTATTATACACTTAAAATTTTGCATAGAAGTTAGATCTTATATTAAATGTTCTTACCACAGTAAAAAAAAATCATCAAAAAAATGTCATGAGCCACCCCAAGAAGCAGGGATTCCACACATACCTGTGAGAACTACAGTATGCCCTCCACCACAAGCTACTTGGATCACCTTCTCAGGAATTTTATCCACCAGCTGGGGTATTCTGTGATTGATTAGCATCTGACTGGGAAGACCTAACTTTCCATTCTCAGGTTCTCCAAATGTGTACAGTTCACCATCCACTATTGAAGAAGGAAAAGTAGAGTGATCAATGATGGCATAAATATGAATAAAACAATGGTCTTGTTAGTATATGTTCTCAAGCTCCATAAAAAATTTAGACAATGAAAACTTACTAAATTTGACCTTTATTGAGATATTCTTACTATATGGTAAAGAAAGAAACTAGATTTTCTTTTCCTTGATTATTTTACTTCAATAATCTTCATGAATTCATGACTATCACTACTAATAAACCACCAGAAAACAGTTTTAGCTCTTTTGCAAAAGATATCATCATCTGATCATTTTTTTTTCCCCAGTGCTTAGGAAAGAACCCTGGGCCTCCCAAATGCCAGGTTAAGTGCTCTACCACTGAGCCATACCCCCAGCCCTCTATTTGCTTTTAATAAAGCAGATGACTAGATATTAAGCTCCCATAACTACACAGATTTTTGTTTTTATCATCATGGTATCCCAGAAACCCAGCTGTCAAGCACAAGAATTTAATGAATACTTGTTGAATATATGCTTTCTAAGAAACTCATTTTAGAAAACTCACTTTATTTGTTAAGTACAAATGTCGACTGATTCTTAAGATAGCAGACTTTACAGTTAGATGGCACTTTCTCCAGACTCTCTTACCCTAGGAGCTCCTAACACTTATGACTGCCTTATATGTACTAACACTAATGATATGCTTTTGTATTATTCCACTTATAACATTATATTATGACTGTGAGTTTCTTGAAAGGAATTTTATAAATTTCTGTAATACTGCCACTTACTCATTGAGTCATACTGAGCAATCACTGTGCCTGTAAAATGGGAATAAAAGTACCTATGATATAGGGTTGTTATTTAATAGGAATAAGTTAATTAATGCATTCAGGAATACTCTTTAGAACACACAGTCAGTGCCCAGTTGTTATGAGTTGCTACTACATTCTCCTCCTCCTCATGTGGGTTTAGAAAAACTGGGTGCCAACAAAAGTCCTTTAGGCCTATAGAGTCCAAAGATCAAGGTCCAAATTCTGGTTCTGCAACTCAGCTGCAGCATCACCTTGAATAAAGCATGTTCTAAACCTGCTTCTACATATGTAATCAAGAAACACCACTGCCTCTCTCACAGAGTTATCATGAGATTAAGTGAAATGTAATTTGTACTTGAAACACGTTGTAGATGGCAAAACCTTATACATTTTGGAGTGAGTTGACTGTAAACTCTGAAAGATAAGCACTTGCTTTAATCAACCTGGCATTGTAAGAAACATACTTTAAGATGACTTGTACATGGTAAACTGCTGAATCATTTCTTACAGTGTCAATTTTTTAAACCATTTACACCTATAAAGGGTTAGAAAACACATTTCCTGTAGCTATCACTAAGACCCTCTTTAAAGGTGAAGGTAAGTGCTTTTATCTGTATAAAACATTCAATTTAACTTCAAATTCTTTTTCTTATTTATATATAAAAATAAAATAATATCATGATAAAGAAATAGTAATTTCATCTTACTCATTTTTACTTTATTTGAGCCTACTAATTTTTATAAAATCTGGATTCCTCAAACTACCTACCTGGCTCTGATATCTGCCTTCTCCAAGATTATGACCTTAACCACCCTGCCATATGTCTCTTCTCCAGGCTCTGAAGCCTGTTCCACACATCCCTGCCCTGAGTCCCCACAGCCCCAGCTCTTATATTCTCTATTGTGTTGCACATAATTCCCTCTTTACTATATGGTCCATTGGTTGCAATGCTCAGACCCCAACTATTAACGCATCAGATGAAAGACATAGAAATCAGTGATAACACCTGAAAAATCCACATATTTTATTTCAAATATTTTAAATTAAATATTTTATATAATTTAAAACTATGGACTTGAATTTAGAATGTGAACATAAGCATTCAAATACACAAGTAAATTAAAAATTTGTAGGAAGCCTTAAATGTGACTATCTCGGTGATATGTTCTGCATTTTTATTAAAAATTAAACTCTTCTTTTTGGTCTCCCAGCTTGACATACAAAGACAAAAAGATAACTACAGTCCTTTTCTATACAACATTTTTATCTATCATGAAATATATATTAAGTAAAATCTCTTATACTTGGGTTATTTCCAAGATGTGTAAAAAGTTGCTTTTAAACTATTAAAGTCATAAAATAATGGCTAGTGTGAAAATTACTCACAATTCATATCAGTTGTTATAAATGAATCTCCAGCAAAATGTTTAGTATAACAGTTCACGGTATATATATTTCTGTGAATATACTAAAAAAAATCTTCAACTGTATACTTTAAATGGGTGAATAGTACAGTATTTAAATTATATCTCAATAAAGCTATTTTTAAAAAAAGATATAAAAACAAAAACAAAATAACTCAATATAATGCTTGCTGGCTTAAGATAACAATTCTATGTATTCCTCTAATGGCTAAAGCAGAGTTTATTAATAAACTTGGCTTGCTCCCTTAGTATTTATTAAGTCTGTGCAATAAACCAGAGATACAGTGATGAACAATACCAACAGTCAGGTTTGCCCAATCTTGGTATCACGCTGCTACCAATCTGTTGGTAACTCTGGGGGTACTGGGATTGGTCAGTCAGCACTTCTAAATTTCAATCTGTAGTATACAGAACAAAGAGTAAACATTTATTTATTTTTTAAATAATTTAACCTTTATTTTTTATTTATTTTTAATGTGGTGCCAAGGATCGAACCCAGTACCTCACCCATGTGAGGCAAGCATTCTACCACTGAGCTACAACCCCAGCCCCAAGAGTAAGTATTTAAATAAATATTTAGAGAGGTATCTAAGAGGGTTCACAAGACTATTTTCTCTAGTAAATTAGATGGAAATCCATAACCATACTTTTCCTATTATTAATAGTGTAGATGCAGACTATAATAGAGCCCAACATTTCAAATATTTTAAGGCAGAAGAGATTGTCAGTAGGCCCAGAGAAACTGGAGATGCTGAGAAAAGTCCCACCCAAGGAAACTATTTCATACTGAGCTCTCTTCCTTTTTGATCTAGTCTTCACCTCACTTCCCATTCATTTACTTGAAATAATAAAATAAATGATCAGTACAAAAGAGTAGAGGTAGGTTAAGGTACAGAGGCAAGTGGGTCCAGAGGAAAGTGGCTCATAGGTCTTTTTTTCAATGCCAAAGGGATTTAAAAAGCTTGAGAATCAATATTTAGAAAGGTTTCAATTATATCAATTGACATAACATTCAATTATATCAATAGACATAACATTCACCTAAAAAGCCAACATGTCAGAGAGAATCTAAAATTACAAAATTTATTATAGAAATAGAGAAATACTGTGATGTAAAACAGATGGAAATAATTTCATTACATGGATAACCATGGCACTATTTCTACAGAACTGTAGAATATGTTAATATAATTTTATTATTAATTGAATATTTCAGAAATGAGAGATAATGTGATGAATCCAAAATGTTCTGCTTACTTGTTACAAAAGCTGAATGGTAATATCCACAAGAGATCCAGGAGATTGGTTTCCCAATGGTCACTTGATGAGGCACACACACATTACTCATATTTTTTAAACCAATTTGCCCTTCAGAATTGTCACCCCACATAAAAAGTATTCCATCCTCTGTAAAGAAAACACAAGGAGAGAAAAGTTTTAAAAGGTAGTAGGGCTCTGCAGCTATTGTAATTCCAACAGGCCATTTATTTTTTTAATTTAGAAAAATTATATGTCTTAAAAGAAAAGTACCAAGACAATTATATCAGCTGGCTACTAAAGAGTTCAATTTCTATTATGAAATACATCAGTAACAATAAAAAACAGAGAATGACATGATTGTAAATCTCTTTGATTATGTTCATACTTTTATCTCGATAGCAAACCCAGGATGTCATTTCCTATAATCACCTTGTCTCATTATAATGTCTCTAAACAGAAATATTTTCCTTCTTCCAAGCAGTCTACCTGCCACTGAACTGAGAGCCAGCATGAGTCATACAAAACATCTCCAGAACAAAATAGCAAGTTCCAGGTCAAAAGTGAATGGAAGACCTTGCTCTTGAGAACACTATATAAATGTTTTAAATGAAGAAGAAGAAGAAGAGAAAAGAAATATGTTTCACTAATCTCTTTTCTTTATACCTGAAAACACAAATTCTAGTTTCAGAGAATGAGGAGATATATTACCATATCTAGCATCTCAAAAACATGTTCATTTATGACCTTTCTGATAAGGGCTTTCAAAGTTGGAAAAAGTTAAATTAGGATAAAAAATTTAGAAAAGAATTACTAATGCTTATTTGCATTAATTTTTTATTAAAAAACTTTAAAAATCTTTGAAGTGGTTTAATAATAAAATGATAACTGAAAACTAGAACTGAAAGAAGAATATGAAAAAGCTAACTATCTGGTTGACAAAACTGAAGAGAAAAGCTTCAGATACAACTCTGACTTTCCTAATAGAGCAACACTGGACATTTATAGTCTCCTATTTGGAACAAAACAGATAGCAAACAGCTTCAGTGACACCAAGGTGATCTTGAGACCAACTTTTAAAGTTCTTATATGTGCTTTTGACAGGGAAGGCTGAGATATGCAATAAACATTACAAACCATAATATTTTTATAACGTATGCCCAACAGGTTTCTATAGATTGCTTCTGATTAGTAACTTCAGTTAAAACTGGAAGTATATCAGCACACAATTAAGATAATATTTCAGATTATCTAAATTAGTAGATGGATAGTAGAGCTTAAAATTTATTTACCAATTACCTCTAAATATATGTTTATATCCCACTAAAAATATATTGAAAAATGAGGCACACCACATTACTCATATTTTTAAAACCAATGTGCCCTTCAGAATTTACACCCTACATTAAAAAGTATTCCATCCTCTATAACAAAAACAAATGTCTTCTGAAAGCACACAGTCAATGCAAGAAAATTAAATGACAATGCTGTCTTGAGTTTACCAACTTGGTATATCTTGGTCTTATCTTGTGTCCCAGATTGAAATTAAAATACATCTTACCAGTTAGGGCAGCTGACGTGTTAGATCCAGCAGAAAGCTGTTTAATATTATGCTGGGATGTAAAAAAGCTAATTCGATGAAAGGTGTTTCTCTCTTCAGTGTCACCAAGTCCCAATTGCCCTTCATTATTTCCTCCAGCTGCATATACACTGCCTCCTTCTGTACACGGAAATGAAACATTGTAATACTATAGTCATCTTGCTTACAAGACAGGTTAGTGTATACCAGATATTCCCTCTATTAACAGTGAAGAAAAGTATAAACAAAGGCAGACTGGTGAGGAGGAGCTGAGGCAGAGAGAACAGCCTAAAGATAGAAGCAGCTTAGGGATGGAGGAAAGGAAGGAGTCAAGAAGAACTGTTAAGTAGTCAGGAACTGCTAATTGTTAAATTTGTTGAAAATACTTTCCCTGGGTGCAGTGGTGCATGCCTGTAATCCCAGAAGCTCTCGGGAAGCTGAGGCAGGAGGATCATGAGTTCAAAGCCAGCCTCAGCAAGGGCGAGGCACTAAGCAACTCAGTGAGACCCTGTCTCTAAATAAAATACAAAATAGGGCTGGGAATGTGACTCAGTGGTTGAGTGCCCCTGAGTTCAATCCCTGGTTCCCCCCGCCCCACCCAAGAAAAAGAAAAAAAATACTCTCCACTGATTGCCGTAGCACCTTTGTCAAAAATCAGTGGGGCACATATGTGAGAATCTATTTCTGTACTCTATTCTATTTCATTATCTTTCTCTATCTTTTTGCTAATGTCATGATGTCTTGAATATTATAGCTTTATAGGTCTTGAAATCAGGTAGTATCAGTCCTATAATTTGGTCTTTCTCAAAATTGTTTTGGCTGTTTTATGTCCTTTGATTTTCCACATAAATTTTAGAATCACTTTGTCAATTTCTACCCCCCCACACACACACACAGCCTGTTTGGATTTTGACTAGAACCACGCTGACTTTGGTTGGCTTCCACTTACCCTCAGTAAGGAAGAGGTAAGAACAAGAACAGAAGCAACTAGATCTTGAGGTGTGCCTATAGGTAAGGAGATGCTGTCCCTTGATATAATTTAACAAAGGCTTTTTCTTTAGTCATTTAACATTTATCTGCATATTTACAAAGGCAAACATGTACTAAACACATCTATCTATTGCCAAGGTACCATTGTCTATTAATTTTATAAACCCCAAAACATTACCAGAGTGAGATCTCAGTTCTCAAAGCCGGGCAAGAAGTCATACCAGTTAAATACTATACCTGTTGAAACTAGGGTGTGGTTCCTTCCACAGGCAGCAAGTTTTACTTTTTCAGGTTTAAGAGCTAAAAATATATGAATATGACAATTAAAATATTTTATGGTTATGAAAATAATAAATAGTCCAGGTCAAATGGTAACTAAATGGTAAAAGAAATTGTTTATTTATTTTGGTGGTGGGGATCAAACCCAGGGCTTTGTGCATGCTAAGCATGTACACTACCACTGAGCTACATCCCCAGCCCCAGAACTGAGATGAAAAGCAGGTTTACCTGATTCCAAAGTTGATGTTCTTAACTAGTTTTGCATTATAACACAGTGAGTCACTGAAAACAGTGAGTCAGTGGGTCTGAGGTAGGGCTTAAGTATTGGTATATTTTTAAAATCCCACAGGCAATTAAAAGATGCCACAATCCACTGGATTCTGTTGTGCTGCCTCCTCACCAACCTGATCCATTACCTAACCTGCCATCACCATTATCAAGCTCATCTTTTACCATATCCAATGGAAAACCATAAGTCCAATATTCATAGGCATACACCTATGTTAAAGTTGTTCATTAATTTATCTACATATTAAAAAAACATTTCTAGAATATCTTCTAAGTGCTGGGCATAGCATCTACACAGATGATTAAAAGCCCCTGGTCTCAAGGATCTCCTTTTAGACTATTAGATAAGATATTAAAGAGTAAGCACTATGGGTACCGTGAATAAAGCATTTAGCAGTTTGACCATGTGGAATATTTCAAAAGTCCCACAACAATACCTATATAAAGAACATGGATAAGATAAGCTTGCACCTGAGATTCTGAGCTGCAATTTAAATTTTAGGTAGAAAGATAAAGAATACTGTTCTAAGGAATGTCTATCACCCTTCAAATTTAGTTGATGTTCATGGTTATACCCAGAGGCTTTGCTTGTAACAGTTAGAAAGGTTTTCTGGGACAGTCATGATTTCAGATGTTTAGTCCTGAAATTCTTGCACACTCGTACTAATCAATCCCAGTCTTAATGTTTTGTTCAGTTCATCTACTCATTATGTACTACAGCATAAAATATGTTTTACAAAACTAACAACTACATATGACCATGATATATGAGAGCTCAAAACTCTAGCACATTATAATGTCTGTTATCTATGTATGCAATAACAGTAATATTTAAGTAGTTTTACAAAGAAGCAAAAAGAGGATGTCCAAATGTAATACTGTAAAATCATGACTTCCTTTGTGATCCCTGGGTTTAAAAATCAGTGTGATTTTTAGACTTTACCACATAAAAGTAGGTTTGAATTTCATATAAAGTTCTGATAATATTTAACTGAATGTTACAAAATGAAGAGCTAAAGACTTTATCATTTATGACATTAAAAGAACTACACAATCAGTATGGAAGTACTTTATGTAGTTTGTTAAGTATTTAAAGTGATAAAGAAGACAAGACCCCAAACCTTTGACACATGTTGGCTTGCTGATGGTTGACTTTGATCCTAATCCTAACTGACCCCAGTTGTTACTGCCAAACATGTACAATTTATTATTTCCTAGTGGGAAGAAAAGAGAAATAACAAATCAAAACACTCTTCAAATAAATAATGTGAGATAATATTATCACATGACAATAAAAAAGTTATGCCTAAAAAAGTCACTAATTTTCTATGTTAAAACATATTACCTTCAATGTATGACCATATTTTATTAGTAGCTTCTAAGATTATACAGCAACAATTTTTATTATATTGAAATAGACTTATTTGAAGAAAGTTGTATGTATAGGAAATCATATTTTAATTAAATATATTAAAGTAACTTAAAATCAAAAGACTCTTGATGGAATCAGTTTGTGAAGAATTCTCTGGCAAAGTAAAAAACAACACCTTTTATTATCTTCAACATGTTGAAAACACAGCACATCTATACTATTTAGAATTCTCAAAGTATTATTGTTCTGATTAAGGATTGTAATACTAACCTGTAACAATAGCAGTATGTTCATCTCCACATGAGAGATATGTAGGTATGTCATGTTTAAACCAGAATTTACTGGGCATGTTTTCAGCAAATTTAGTTTTTCCAAATGTAAACACAGCACCCGAATCTGCAAATATAAGACAATTTCTATTTAACAACTTTTAATATGCTGCCAGTTATGAAAATACACTTTTAATAATATATCTACACAAATCCCTGTCTCATGACAGTTCTACCTTTACTGAAGCACTCTTTAGGGGGATGGTGGGGTTACTATGGATTGAACACAGGGATGCTCTACCACTGAGCCATATCCCCGGCCCTTTTTCATTTGAATCTTGACACAGGGTTGCACTAAATTGGTGAGTCTGCCTACAAACTTGCAATCCTCTTGCCTGAGCATCTAGAGTAGATGGGATTACAGCCATGCACCATCATACCCAGCTTCAAGCACTTCGAGTTTTCCTTCTTCCCCCTTAATTCAGTCTTACTCCTTAAACGTCATTCTAGTTTGACCTATAAAATCTATTAGTGAGAAATATATTATCACAAAGAAGTCAGTCATCTATTTCTAATAGTTCTGCTGTCATCAGGTAGACATCTGATCCTGGGAATGAGCTGGTACAATGTGTGCCCTATTTACTCTGGTTAACACCTCAAAGTCTGGTCCCTGGACCAAGAGCTCTTTTCTACATTCAGAAATAGGGCAGTATTGAGTTTCTTCATTAGGCTCACCAGGACATTTTAGGGGAGGATCTATATAAGTCGGTTTGAATTTTCTTTGGTCCAGTTTTTCCAAAAAACCTCCAGTGTTCTCATGCTAAGGGAAAGGAATGTAACCACAAATGGTCAACTCTTTATGTGTCTATTGGTAATCACCACGAATACCCATAAAACCAGGGTCAAGACAGAAACAAATTATTTACACAATACCTCTTTCATTTGTACTATGGGACAGCAGCTAAACAAAAAGGCTTTAAGTGTAATTAGGTATTCAGATTCTTACTCTGAATAATTAGCTATGTGATCCTGAACAGGTTACTTTACTAAGACTTTGATTTCTCGTTGATGATTAGTCTTTATTTGATAGTGTCTAAGTACCAATATTCCATCTTATATACCCTGAATCTCACACAGGTATAAGCAGGTTAGTGAATGAATGTAAAATGCATTTATAATAGTGTAAATACAGGGCTACACCAATTTCATAGGGTTGTTTTGAGGGTTAAATGAGATAGTATATGTAAAGAATCTAGTATGTTGCCTAGAATGGCCAATATTTGTTAGCCCACAGCCACCTTCATAAACACTTCCTTTATTCTAAGAGCTGGAAGTGATCATTGGTTTCTCTGAATTATGAGATGTACAGAATTTATATGGCAATTAACTATGCACTATTAAGCAACCTCTCCAATCAAATCATTACACACATCTTTTGTTGCTCAATATTTTGTTTTCTCACTTATATTCTAAAGTTTCAGAGAGTGTAGATTGTCCTCAGTACCCATACTCCCTTACACAAAGTGGTCCTTTAATAAACTTCAATTATTTTTAAGTCTGTTACCTTCTTACACACATACATTCATAACTGTTTTCAGGTCATCTTAATGGTGAGCAGGCAGTCAAACATAACTTTCAACACTCTTAATGTTAAAGATAAGATTAAGTATTTAACAGAGAAACTTTTCAGTTTCCTGCTGATTTTATTGAGAATTGAGGATTCAGTTTAAGGATCATGTATATAATGAAAAGATTCTCTCAATAGAACTACTCAGGAAGCTTCTCATTAGTTATAGAGATGTTTTTTTTTTCTTTCTTTTACCATAAGCTCTGTAAGGGAAAGAATGGTTTATTTTGTTTCTTCAAACACTATAACAAAATGCCATGATTCTAGGAGATTGGGGGCAGCAATGTAGAAATTTAATATTCTTAAATTAAGTCATTACTTGATTTGAGTAGTATTCACAAATTGTTTTGGCCCAGTACCATTTTGAAGAGAGACTGAAAACCCCTGTAAGTTCCCAATAACCATTTAAATACAAACACATGCCTGTACTAAACAGGCCAGATCCAGCTTCTGAGGAAATCTCAAGGAGGATCATCACATAAACTAATTGGTACCAGAAAGGAAAATGTAGCAAATGTAAGTATTAATAATAAATATCAATGCTCATGAGACTAGCCACTATGGAAAATCTTTTGAGAATCCTTGTGAAGCATCACACTTCAAATTAATAATTGAGAGTTGGGAAGCCAGGATCAAGAACAGTTTCCCCAGAATGAATCACTGAACTGTTTTGTCCTGATTCTCCAGGAAGCCTCCCTCTGCCACCCCACCCCAGGCTAGGGTTTAGTGGCTCTGTTCTGGTCCCCTGGCATCTATTGTCAAACTGCTCTGTTACTTTTTTTTTTTTTTAATTTCTTGTCAACTTTCATAACTCCAGGAGGCCAGGAATCTAAGAATGTTTGAGCCTGGAACATGGCACAAAATGCAACACATATTTCAATGACTATAATTCTGTTCTAGTCAGTGCTTTTTTTAAATTCAAACTGTTGGTCGTGATCCACTAGTGGGTCAGGAAAATCAATTTAGTAGACTACGACCAGCATTTTTAACAAATGTATTATAGAAAACTCCGAGAGCATCTCAAATGGTTATAACAAGTAGTGCTTCGTGAAACGTCTATTATGTCGTAGAAGGTACAGGTCACAATGTCAAATGTATTTCAAATCGTAGAGCTGATGGTGGGGGTCTTAAAAAACAAATAAACCCCAAATCACTATCTCAAGCTTTCCTCTTCTCCAATTCGTTTTTTCCACTCCCTTTAACCCGAACCCCCTCATCAGCTCCTTTTTTACTGCGCTGAATATGTAACCGGGTCCTGCCGATCTCCAAGGCGCCCAAGTCTGAAGCCTGTCGTACTTCGGGAAGTTTGTAGTGAAGAAAAAGGTGTCCCCGCCTTGGAGAAACTCATCAAACGTTTATTTAAAACTCAGAAAGTCAGGAACCCTTTTCCCCACTGTCCCCTGTCCCGTCCGTCCCGTCTGATCTTGTCCCCTCAGTTACTCGCGGAGGCCGGGCAAGAGATCTGGTCTCAGTCCGGTCGCTAAGCCTCAGGCCTGTACCCCGACCGGGCCCGCCCGGAGGCGGAGCCTGGCAGCTCGCCCGCCCGCGGACCCTCCCTCCCGGCCCGCCGCCACCGTCGAGGGCGCGACTCACCGGGCACCAGAATCTCGGGCTCCCCCATGCCGAGGACCGTAAGGGAAGTCTCCGTCAGTTCTGGGAAGAGCGCGGGGGCAGCTCGGGGGAGCTTAAGGCAGTGCCTCAGCCACAGTGCGGGCTTCTGTACCCCCGGGGGCCCCCATAGCGACCCTCTTGGCATTGGCCGCTGCCGCGCTCCCGGAAGTCAACAAACAGCCGCTATGGGCAACGGAGGCGGAGCGTTAAGGCACGAGGCGGGACGGGCGCCCAGTGTGGGACGGGGGAGGGGAACGGAGGCAGGGTGGCCAGTGCGGCGCAAGCGCAGATGGCAGCGGGCGGGGCGGTAGAGACCGCGCGCCCTCTGGCGGCTCAAAGGGGAGGAGCGGCCCCACGGAGCTGCGATTCCTGCAGTGAGCGTTTCTGCTAGGAGGAATACTGGCTCCACAGGGACCCTGCCTGGATTAGTGGCAAACGTCACAAATCTCACATATTTGATCACTGGGGCTTTGTGACACATGCGAATGTCGATGCGCAGCTATGACAACTTACTAATAGTAACCATATATAGCATTAAATGAGCTAGGCTTTCTGCTAAACGTTTTATATCCTAAATTACATTTGTACCCCCAGTATGTCAACCAAGACATAGCATACACTAGATGTTCATTAAATATTTATTAAACAAATGAGGGCTATTATAGACCTGTAAGGCAGTTAATGTTACCCTATTTACAAATGTGGCAGATTATATATGGAGAGAGTAGGAGTCCCACTTAGCTTGTCCAGTTTGTAGTCTGAACAACCTTGCTTCCCAAAGGAGGGGAAAACTGAGGTGTATAGAATTCACTCAGTAATATTGTATTTTTACAAAAAAATCACATCTTGTTTTCCTATGCATTCATATGTAACCACCATAAAATAAAGAGGCAAAAAGTCATCTTCCAGAATGAGTACATTTATATATCTGTGGTAGTTGTAAGCAAGGGCTCTAGAATCAGACCCAAGGATCCTTGAATTATTTATGTGAATTAGAGCATGTTCCCAAATCTTTCTCAGGGAATTCACATTAAAATGGCAGTTTAAATTATCCATTAATCATTCATTAATCATTTACTTACAAAGCACACTGAGGCGTGCTAAGAAACTGTTTAACAAGAAACACTGATCTGGTGTGGGATGTTAAAAAAGACTTATTATGTAACCCAATTGGCCATGCCCTTTTTGTTGATACACTTTTCTATAGGTTCTTCCTTTATGGTCAGTTTATCTCCTTTTCAGTTTAACCATCTTTTGCTGAGCCATTAAATTTTAAATTCTATGCTACTTATAATAGCCTCTTTTTCCTTCCCATTCTAGTTTACCTGTCCCCAAGGTTGTTATCACCACATAAACCCAGGAATTCACCAAATATGTGCCTCCATATGGGGCTTCTGCCTACCAATTGCCTGCTCTGCTCAAACCTCCACTTGGATATCTTAGTGTGCTCAAGGCTGAACCCATCTATCTAACCCAGAAAGGACTTTAAGTCTAAAAACTGAAGAAGGGGAAGCTGAAAGGGAAATGAGACCTCTGGGCAGAGTAAGTTGGCTGTGTGGCTCATAAGGCAGTTGGTTCTTTCCAGGAACTCAAAGTGTCTGGCTCCAGGTGAGGGGCAGGGTTTGGGGCCTGTTAAAGAATCTGAGATTTTATCCTCAGGAAACCACTGAGGGGTTTTAAGCAATGGAGGGACAGGACAGGATCAATTACATGTGTTCCTGAAATCATTCTGCCTGGTTTGGCTACTCTGTGGGGAGTAAATTAGAGCAGCGAGAACAGTTCAAAGACTATCGCAGGTGCTGATAAATGGTCAGGCTGACTTGGATTTCAGTGCATTGGCACTGGAAAGGAGCAGGCAGATTTAAAAATATTTTAGGTGGTAAAATCTATAGGAAATGGTGTCTGTGTATCAACTCTTAAAAAGTGCTGGATTACCAAATAACAGATCAACAGCAAAAAAAGGGCCCAAAGGATTTGTTGTTCACTTTTAAAGGATCATAATAGTTACTATGGGAAAATCAGAATTCAAAAAAGACTTACATTAGTTATGATATGCTTTCATTTGCTTTTTTAAAATTTTCAGAATGCAGTAAAGCACATTTTGATGCTGAGCACTTCTGTAAGTATTAATGTACCCAACACTCAGGTTCCCAACATAAGCAAATTGGAGTGGGGTGGCACAATTATGGATATGGGGAACTCTGAGGAAGGAGGCTTGGGTTAGATAGATGGGGTACAGTGAGTTCAGCCTTGAGCACACTAAGATATCCAAGTGGAGGTTTGAGCAGAGCAGGCAATTGGTAGGCAGAAGCCCCATATGGAGGCACATATTTGGTGAATTCCTGGGTTTATGTGGTGATAACAACCTTGGGGACAGGTAAACTAGAATGGGAAGGAAAAAGAGGCTATTATAAGTAGCATAGAATTTAAAATTTAATGGCTCAGCAAAAGATGGTTAAACTGAAAAGGAGATAAACTGACCATAAAGGAAGAACCTATAGAAAAGTGTATCAACAAGAAGGGCACGGCCAATTGGGTTACATAATATGGACAAATAGGGTAAAAGCCAAATGGCTACTTAATTGTGCAATGTGGTGATCATTAGTGTTGTTGAAAAGAGCTGTTTGGTAGGATGATTTGAATAGTTGCAGAATGGGAGAAACTGAGGGAGACATCAAGGTGATAGCTTTGGATAGGATATAGAGATGGATTCAGTGGGAAGGGGAGACAGTAGTCAGGAAAGTTAGGTGGATGAAGGGCTTTTGTGAAACTTGGAGAAACTTGAGAATACTGAGGACTCAAATGGAATAGATGGAAAGAGAGTGTGCAGAGTCAGGAGAGTGTGAGAATGATCAATAACATAAAGCAGGAGGAGATGACATCCAGACCCCATGTGGAGGAGCTGCGTTAGTTAGAAGGAGACAACATTTCTAGCATACAGGAATTGAGGGAGAAAGACCCCATTTCACAATATAATTTTGATGTATATGATACATTTATATATGTAGATAGATGACATCTATATACTGTCAATATATATGATCTAGAGTTATGTCATATACATCATACTTATAGCTATGCTATAGTTCTAGATCATATATGATACAATATATGGTGATACTATTGTCCAGCTCAGAAGGCTTTTGGGAGATATTAGGTAATGCATGTGAAACAGCTTGGAGCCTGGTATAGAATAGCACTCAATCATGTTAGCTATTATTAATGAGGCAGAGTTGACTGTGCCAACTGTGCTCATCAGCAAAATTTAGGCTGTGCCTCAGTACTAACACCCAAATCTCAGTGGCCTAACACAAACAAAGAAGTTTCTTTCTCATACATGCTACACGTTCAATGTGGGTCAATGGGGAGATCTGCTCCTTCTGGTTACACAGGGACCCAGGCTACTGATGGAGGGTCAGTTACCTTGTAGCTACATCATATACAACTTGTGATCTCTTTGGATGCTGTAGCAGGGCCAGAGAGATGGAGCAGGAAATTAAATGCTTGAGGCCAGAAGTGACATGTTTCTCCTTCTTATAACCCATTGACCAGATCCAGTGTTATGTGCCTCTGTGTTCTACCAGGGGCCTGAGGAATGTGGGAGAGCCCTTGAACATTTAGTGAGCAGTAAATACCTCTGCTGCAATCATTGCAGTCAGATGGCTTCAGCTCATGGAGTTTCCTCCCTCATGTTGGAGAAGGCAGGGTGTTCCGCAGTTTATGACTCTCAGCAGCAGTCATGTGCTCTCTTTTGATGTCCTCTGCATACAGGGCCAAACACTCAGATACTCCTCAGGAAATCGTGTTGATACACAAAAGTCATCACACATCTGAAAACATGTACAAGACTTAGCAATTTCCTCTATTAATTCTAGTTGTTATTCATTTCTGGAGCATTTTGTGTCAACTAAAAATAGAGGCATTTATGAACAGGGAAGACATTTGATAGATTATGCTTCCTAGCTGAATTCATTTCTTTTTTTGACAGCATTCATCAAAACTTCCAAGGTCTGCGTTCTGAGCTGCATTACAGTGCAGCTGCCATCACTGTTTATTTCTCTCTTTGGAACCAGATAAACCGATGTGTCTCCACTTTGCAACCTCCATTATGAAATTTCCACAAGCATCCAAAATTTCAAAACATATTCTAATAGCTTTTTTGATTTCTGAATTTTTTCATGCAGCCCTGAGGACTCACGAGTCCAAATCTTGGCTAAAGTTTTACTTATGAAAAAGACAAAGGTAGGTGGGGTGTACTATGCTACTACCCCACCAAAAAAATTTGCATTTTTGTTTCTTTCATAATTAGTTGGTATTTAAAAATCCTTAATTTGTACACTGATCATCTAGAGATCTTGTTAAGATTTTGATTCTACAGATCTAGAGTAATCTGAATTTTTAAAAAATTCCCAGCTGCTGCTGTTGCTGCTCATTATAGATTACACTTTGGGTAGTGTGTTAATCAGCATTTTATCACTGGGATCAACATATCTGACAATAACTACTTAGAGGAGAAAAGGTTTATTCTGGGCTCATGGTTTCAGAGGTTCAGTTTATGGTCTGCCAACTCCATTGCCCTGAGCCCAAGATGAAGCATAAGATCTTTCTAGAAGAGCATGGCAGAGAAAAGTGGTTCAACTCATAACAGACAGAATAGGGAGCACAAGGAGCCAGGAATGACCCACTTTCTCCAGTTACACCTACCTGTCTACAGTTACCACCCAGTTAGTTCATTCAAATTATTAATCCATAAAATCTGATTTATCTACTGTCTTGGTTATAGCTCTCCTAATCTAATCATTTCACCCCAAACATTTCCGCATTAATGCAGGAGCTTCTGGTAGATATCTCATATCCAAACGATAGTAGGTAACAAGAACTTAAACTGTGGAAAGGTATCAAAACTAGTCTATAGAAGCCAGAAAGGAAAAGATTGATATATGTGATTGTAGGTTCTCCCTTTATGGTCAGTTTCCTTTTTAATGGACAAAGAGGCTAGTATTAAGAATATGTACAGGACACCAATAAATCAAT